AGTGTATCAATAAAATAACAACCAGGTTCAATTGTAATCACCTGGAAAGTCGCTTCAAATTTGGAGCTAGTTCGCAAATTCGCATCAACCAGTCCTTTCATTCTTACCATTATTTCTTTGAGCGTTCTAGTAGTGCGCAGAGATTTCAACCCGGGGAGATCCGATCGTGGCAATGCATCCTGCCGAAAAAAATTATTAGCGATATTGGGTGGATATCTGGCTATAGTCTATCAAAAAGTACCCCAAGATAACCACCACAGTCATGAACATCGAGACCAATCAAATGACCAAGCCCGTGAGGCATGAACACGGCTCCAAGCCTTGCGTTGACCATCTCGTCAATGTCACCTGGAACAGATGAGTAAAGCAGCATTTTCTATGTACTGGTTTTGTAGTTGTTGGTATGTTCTGAACAAACCTGTAAGTAGCCCTGCCTTTTTGAGATGTGTGAGTATTACTTTCTCTGATAAAATATGCATGTCGGTCCATCGAACTCCTTAACACGTTGTTCATGAATTTCGTTCATCCATGAGGGAAGTACAGGGAGATTTACCTGGCTTAGCGGCTTTGAACACTGCCTGGTTTGATTCAAGTACCGCATTGTAGACTATTTTCTGCTTATCGGTAAACTTCCCGTTCGCAGGAAATGATGTAGTTACATCGGACGCTGATGAGGTGTTAATTGTTTGTTAAAGCTACAGCTACAGCAACAGAAGCAACGATTAGATCGTAACCTACCGTAGCAATTGTACTCGGGCCCCATGTCAAACAAGCACATATCACCGTCCTTGATCTGCTTATCGTTGGGCGCGTTGGCGTGTCCATAATGGAGAATTGAGCCATTGCAGCCTCTGAATTATACAAACTTACTCCCAAAATACTGCCTTTTTAGCTTCTTTCGTGCTTCATAATTTACGTCATGCCATCAATCGATTAATCAAAGGCAGTCGACACAATAAATTGTATAGTGATAAAAGACAAATATGCCTAATATAAAGGGAAATTGGCCCTCAAGAAAGCGATACGTGGCACTTTCGTTCGTGGGCCCGTAGCGGCCTTGCGAGGCGCTACACTACCATTTGGACGCCTTCGTTCCTCTGCCCCACCCTAGCTGCTGGACCCCCACCATCGGACTCCAGCTATTCTAGCGAAACGGCAGAGCAGAGGGTTTACATTGATGACGTTGTTTCACCCAGAGCTGTAATGAGGGAACAAGGGGCCTCATTTTGGGGTTTCAGGCCGCTTCCCTTCGTTTTTTTTTACTGCTTGACTTATCAGTTGCTCCAGTTTCGTTCCTAGCGAAGAACTAATTTATCGTACCACCTGTCTTGAAAGAATAGATCAAGATTTTCCCGTAGTTCTCTCCCCTTTTACTTTTCTCCTTGCTGTCCTCCAACTTCCCAACTCACATCGTAATAGAAACTCTATACAAAAATATGCTTACGTTGCTGCTATGCATGTATAAGCCAGATGGCGACATCCTCCATGATAGTAAGAC